GTGTGTGTGTGTGTGTGTGTGTGTGTGTGTGTGTGTGTGTGTGTGTCTGTGTGTGTATGTGTGTGTGTGTCTGTCTGTGTATCTGTCTTAGAGAGATTGATGAATGTAACTCGTGTTTCTGCTTTCAGGGTCTTGAAGGACAGATCGGCATGCCGGGAAGGGAAGGCGCTCCAGGGCTTGACGGGATGAGAGGAGCTCCAGGCATCGACGGACCCCCGGGCCGCGACGGTGCCGACGTAAGCAGTAACCCAATCCCCCATCATCCGACCCCCTGCCATCATTAAGATTCTTAAGCTCATTAGATATAATTAATCGTATCTCTCAATATAGCTCGTGTGTGTGTGATCCCCATGTCAGGTTCTTTCTTGCACCCCTAGTCCTAACCGCGCTCTTCCAATGTCAGGGCTCTTCCCTCTCTCTCAACAATCGCTCTTCCCAGGACCGTATAGACTTCGGAGTTGGCGGGGAAGGGGTAGCCGCTACCCCTAGAGCTTGGAGAAAAAATAAAATACGTACGTAAATAACCGTCAATTAAGTATCAAAATCCCCATCATCCGCCCTCGTCTTCGACCTTTCCCCCGACACACTTAGCACGTTGACTGGTAGCTGCGCGCCCTGCCTTGTCATTACTCAGCTGTCGTCCTGATGGTTTGCCTCTCCTGGAATTTGCTCTTGCTACAGTTGCTGTTTTCATGTGAAACTGGCTCGATTGCACGTTGAACAGCAGCGGAGTCACGTTCCCGGGGCCCGTTTTCAGAAACAAAATTAGTCTTAACATTAGTTTTAACATTAACAATTTCTCCTATATACCGTCGACATCACTTTGTTTCGTATTGTTATGAGAAAATCTGCTACGATTTTTCATTCTTGTAACTTCGCAGCGTTTCTGTCAACGGTCTAAGAGAAAAAGTTCATGTTAAGACTAATGTTAAGACTAATTTTGTTTCTGACAACGGGCCCCCGATAGACAGCTGCCACCGATGCCTCTACTTTCTTCGTGTATTTCGGAATTCCGATGTAAATTTTTGCGCGCAAACGGTTTGTAGATATGCCGGTAAACACTGGCTACGTACTCATTAATGCACTGTTTGTCCACCAGGCGGTGTCAGGAGCACAGGCACCACCTGGTATGCCGGGAAGCGTAGGCCCGCAGGTAAGCCTTCCCCAGAAGCGGATATGATCCTTCACCTTTCCCAGTTTTCACGAAACGCTACGATATCCTTCCCGGTAACTCTATCGCCTCGCTCTTATGTTCATCTACGCTTGTAGACTGCAGACTTTTATTGGAAACCGCACGAACAGTCCAGTGGACTCGGAAAAAAATCGTGCTTATTTGGTTACAAGAATATGACTTTGCAGAAATGTAGCGTTTAATTTGGCTGAAGGAAACACGATATCTTTTCACATTTTTCAATTTACGAAATTTACGTTGACATTTTTTCGAAATATATGATGATGGAGATACGTGTTTAATATTTCGCCGTGAAGAGCTCCTCTAAGCTTCACATCGTGCGTGTGTGTATGTGTTGTTTGCAGGGGGCTCAGGGACCGCCTGGTGACACAGGCCATCCAGGAGCCTACGGGCCAAAGGTCAGTTTTGCTGCCATGTGGCTACTGTCTTTTTGTTACATCGAACGTTAGAATTAACTTTAGAGTGAGAATTAATGTTCGCGTTGAAGTTAACCTTAGATTTAATGTTAGAGTTTGAGTTAACGTTAGGGTTAATGCTACAGTTTGAGTTAACGTTAGAGTTAATGCTAGAGCTTGAGTTAACGTTAGAGTTAATGTTACAGTCAGCGTTGACATTAACGTTAGCGTGACAGTTACATCCACGACGACGTCGGTCGAACAATGTCGCATCGTGTCGTGTTTCTATCACCCAGCAGCTAAAGCGGCTTTTCTATCACAAGGTTTTGCCGTAACCCGATTTGCTTTCTATAATGTCAGAGGTATTTACACTTTCGGTGTAATCAACGTTGTAACGCGCTTACTGAAATCCGTTTTGTGTGAAATCCGTGACATATGACTTCCGCGTGAGATTTCGAACGTTTCACACAAAAATATCCTGCTAGCGAGGAAGGCTAGTGAAAGATATTATATGAAGAGTTGCTATAACATTGTGCTACTAACGTATAATAAACAATATAAATTTACTTGAATTTGTAAAAAAAATTATGACGGAATTTTAAGAAAGTTTAAAAAAAATCGTCTGCTCACGTCGTATTTGTAGGGCGACGGGGGCGAGCGAGGAATGACAGGGATGCCTGGGGAGCACGGCATCCCGGGGGAGAAGGGAGATGCTGGCCCACCGGGCAGGTCGGCCACGTCAGCAGAGGTTGGCGTCGGAGTGAAGGGCGAGAAAGGAGAAATGGGACAGCTTGGTTTTCCGGTAAGCTTGCTTCCGGTAAGATGCAATATGTTATCTCTATCATTGTCACCATCCATCATCATTAACACCGTCACTGCCACCACCACTAGCAGCAGCAGCAGCAACAACATATACTCCCTTGAATTCAATCGCTCTCGCCTTCTCGTTCTCTCCCCCCCCCCATCTCTCTCTCTCTCTCTCTCTCTCTCTCTCTCT